AGACCACAAATTAGCAGGTACCATCAGCCCATATTTGATATAGAGTCTATCATGGAAATGCAACAGTAGACACCTGAAATGTGTCAAAGACTGCTGAGAATCCAAAAAAGCTGAGCTGATTAAGTTTTGTCTAAAATTTAAAAAGAGATGTAGATCAAAAAGTACAATGTTTTCCCTCATGAGATGCTTCGAGGTATAGTGAAGTAGAACATGGGAATACTAGACGGACCTCCGAGTTGTACTGAAATAACAGTAACTGAGGACATGCACTTGGCTAGCTTAGGCCACCCTGCTGGAAATCTGATGGAAACAAGAGGGGAAAGGCTATCAAGCTATTCAGTCTCCATGTTGTCAGCAGTTCAGATTAGCTGTCACATCACTGAGGGAGAAACAGCTGAAGATTGGAAAGGGGTGATTTCATCTGAATAATTTTATGCTTTGACTGGCAGAGCTCAGCGCTCACCGTCGTACGGTTTTTGACGTCAGATGAAAATAAACTGGGGAAAAATCGAGACCCCGGGTGCAGTGTAATACATAAATACAATCATTTGAGAGAGAGAAAATAAACAAAACATATAAATGAAAGTTAATTCACATTTCCACCGAAGAAATTCCACTCACTTGGCTTGTTTTTCGAGTAGACAAAAAGACAATCTTTATTTGTGTGTTTCTCTCCTTGCTCTGACTTCTGTGTTTACTTTTGACTGACTGACTTTAATGACTGAGGTCAGCTTCCACAAAAACACCACGAACAGAAAAGGAGACAAACTCATACATGACGCTCAGACCTGGAGGCATCCTACTACCACTACCAACCATGGATCACAAACCAGAGAAGAAGAAGAACAATAGAAGGACAGCATCAGTGGAATAGAAGAAGAGAAGACACATTTTTTTAATCTTCCACAGGCTATATCCCATCACTGCATCCCACACAGGAGTAATTAACAGTGATTTTAAATGCTACAAAAATAAGATGAAATAGAGAAGGAAGTGCTTCCCCTTGTTTGTGTTTTCTTGAGTGTGTGTGTGTGTGTCTTTGTACATGTGTGTATGTCCATGCCATGTCTCTGTAAAATGTCTACATCTGCATTTGCTTCTCTACATATGTGTGTATCTGTACATGGGTTGTCGTGTGTGTGTGTGTGTGTGTGTGTGTGTGTGTGTATGCATGTGTGTGTGTTCACAGTGCTTACTCATTATGTTCACTTCCCAAACATTAAAGAAGTCTCAGTCCCATGATACGCACACGCTTTCTCTCCCTCCACCTCCCTCCTCCGTGCTCTCTTTGTGCCGTTTCCACGTCCGCGAAAGCTCCCACCGCCTCAGAGCAACATTATCAAAGACTGTGTGTGTGTGTGTGTGTGTGTATGTGTATTTATGTGTGTGTGTGTGTGTGCATGCGCATATGTGTGTTTTTGTGATGCTACCGCACACACACACACACCTCGCCTCATTTGCCACAGTCTATGCGCTTCCCGTATTGGTTTAACCCTCGAACCCGGGACCAGCTTCAGTCAGTGTTTATGTCCATTGTGATCCGGCCTGGGCTCCGAGGGCTGATTTCCAGTCAGTTTCACCCTGTGGGTCCATTTATCTCCTGGCCCGAGCTAATCCATCAACGACTAGAAAGCCAAGACGGGGAGAAACCGTGTGAGGAGAGAGGTTGAATTTTCCTTTTGATGTCTTGAAAAAAGTCTCAGGGAGAGCAAGAGAGCGGTAGCAGGGTGTTTCTGATTTTCTTTTTTTTTTTTTCTTTTTTTTCCCCATGAAAAAATATATCATCATTAGAAACGAGATTGATCTGAAGGTTTCACAGTGGTCATGCAACTTGAGTGTCGCCTCCTTTTCTCACCTGTCCTCTGTTCATCCTTAACTTCGCCCCCTCCCCGCCCTCCTTCCCGCCTGCAACCCCATTGAAAAATCCCCCGACCCGTTCATCCTGCCAGTCCGAGAGAAGGTACTGTAAGTGACCACAGTCATAATAATACAGAAAGACAAAGAGGTGGGTGACCAGTGGTACATTCATACATGAGAAAGTCATGGTTCCAAAAGTCACCCGACCCAATCGACATTAGACAGTGCTGAAGATGCCTGTGCTGGCCAGGCATGTGATAAATGCTTTGTTTAGAAACATGAATAAGACAAAACACATCCCACCTGAAAATCTACATCTCATCAAACCCACCCAGAACAACCCTACGCCCTCCCGCTGAAGCAGGCTACGGCTAAACTTGTCGTTTTAAAGTGATATCCAAGCGTCTTAAAAAAGTCAAACCGATTTTTATATCACATTGCCGTGAATCTACACTGGGTCTGAAAATACCAACACCTATAATGTTACAATTCCCATGTGGTCGCATTTGTCTAAATCTGTGCTTGTATTGTTTTCTCCCCTTTCTTTTCTGCACAGTGCGGCCACTTTTCTCCTCCGTGCATTCGCTCTTATTCTCGTTGGAGTTGGAACTGGTCCAGGTTGTATAGAATTCCAATTACAATGCAAGCTTGGCCACTTCCAATTCTTGGTTTGAGGATGAGATAGCAATGTGAGCAAAATCCAATTTTTGTGCATCCAGGCCTATCGCTTAATGCATCCTGCCGTGATTGGATGATAGGAATTGCACTGGAACGACAAGTTTAATCATAGCCGCGGCTACATCTACCCCATCAGTGGCCAAGAGTCAATAGTCAAATCAAAAGGACCCCCTGATATGAGTGCAGAGACATTTCTCTTGTGTTTTTCAGCTAAGAGGTGCTGTTCCACCCAGAATCAGAGATGAAGGGCAGCTTCCCAGACAGCTCCAGACCCAACCCATCTCAGCCAGGCCTGGGAAGGGTGTCCGTGGCTGGGCCATGAAAAGGGAGGGCTGGCAGTGGGGGGGGGGTGGTTGGTGGTCGTATTGAGGTGGAGGTGGGAGAAAGAGGAGGAGGAGGAGGAGGAGGAAGAGGAGGGGGCGGAGACAGAGGGCTTCCCTGAGGGGTGGTGGATTTAGAGGGACAGCCAGCCCAGCCCGTTATCCCTGGGTGGGAGCTCCAGGAAGAGAGGGGAGGGAGAGGGGTCACAGCCAGTAGAGGAGTCCCAGGGACAGTGAGGCCAGAACAGCTAACGGGGCCGTGGACCCTGCCCTCCAGCTCGGACCCCCGTCAGTCAGGAAGGGCTCCGGAGAATCGTATCCCGAGCCATCTGAAACGGAGAAAGAAGAAGAAAAAAAACGACAAAACATCTGAACTGAGAGGGACACACAGACAGAGACAAGACGATCTAAAACAAAGTGAAGGGGAGTGGATTTAGCGAAAGACAAAGGGTAGAAACCGCCGAGGTGGAAACATGGAAAAGGAGCGACAAACTACAAAACTCGCAGAGGAAAGGCAAGAGAGTAGACGGCAGTGAAAGGGATGAGGAGAGGGGAAAGCGGGAGGAGGAGAAGACGACAGCAACTGAGCTCTGCAGGGGGTTTAACCAACCTAATTACAGTTTAATCACAGAGACTCGGAATCTGGAGCAGCTGACACACACACACACACATGTGCATCCGCTCACAGCTCACTCCAGCGACAACATTTCACACATGAGATGGAAGTTGCAATGTCAGACACATTACTTTAACAGCACAAAAAAAAAAGAGGAAAAAAAAGCAGAAACTCAAAGAGGAGCAGCAGCAGCAGCAGCAGCAGCAATGACAGAATAAAAGAATGTATGTTGTTTCAGTAATTATGGAGGAGGAGAGAATTTCCTTCGCCCTTAGCGAGATGTGGAATGATCTGAGCCGGGAAATCTGCGAAAGCTGACTCTCTTTTATGAGGATCTTCAAAGCCGTGTCATTATCTAGGGAGATGTGTTACTACCCAGGTTTGATTCTTTAGGTGGGCTTAGGTTGAAAACTCATGAGGCGGAATCTGCATTAGAGAAGACGTACAGGTAGATTTTTCACGATAACGCAAGCGTAGTGTAATTCCTGCCACAATCTGATCCTCATGTACGCCGGGGCTTCTGCTGAGTTATTTTTAAACAGCATTATCATAGGGCCAACATGGCACACTTGTGTGAGCCATGTTGGGAGCAATTTTGATAGGATCGTACCAGACTGCACGATGTCTGGAAGGTAAGTATTGCGTAGTAGCATCATCTGCCTCGTCAACTTTAAAAAAAAAAAAAAAACGCCTGATGCATTAGGGAAACTTTCTTTAAAAAAAATGCATCTATTATTGGGATTTGAAAGGATGCAATAGGTTTATTATTAGCTTGCTCTGTGGTTTCTTATGTGCAAATCTAGAAAGAAGTAGAGTGATGTTGGGGCTTGGTAACATTTTTAGAGAGCACTTTCAGCCTGCTCTGTTCTCTTTTCACAAGGACAGAAGGTCTCCCTCACACCCAGTGTGATGTGATGTGATTTGATGTGAAGTGCGTATGCCACTTTGTGCCTGCGTGCACGCCCAGCGCGTCCCCGTACGAGTGTGCTCGCGCCCGTGCACGCCTGTGTGTGCTTGCATGTGTGAACGTGTCACAATGTGTGTGTGTGTGTGTGTGTGTAAAGGTGTTAAAGTGTTGCCTGGCTGGTCTGTGAATCAGAGCAGAGAGTGTTGCCGGGGCATTCTATCAGACCCCTTATTCCCCCTAATTTTACTTTGATAGCCAATCTGGACTTTTGTGTGCGTTTATACGAACGTGTGTTTGTGTGCGAGTGTGTGTGTGTAGTTAGAGCGTGACTTACCTGGAGGTCTGACATACACCTTCAGCTTTAGACATGCCCGCCCCACATGGTTTGGGTGAGGAGACGCTGCAAAAAGAGATTGAAAGCGGAGATTAGTCTCGAGATGAAATGATTTGTGCCGCTGATTGCGCCCATAAAATACATTTAATAAAAGTTATTTTAATGCTTTTCTGCGTCTGAGTGTTTGGAGGTTTACTATCAGGTGGTTGGTTGGACAGGGAAATGGAAAGACAAAACCGTGACCAGGCCTTGAGGCAAAAATGAGGTGAGGGTCTTTATTAGGAATCTTGTCATCGTCTACCGCACAAATTGAAAACAAATTAATTTTCTAATATTTACCAAATAAGCAGCTAAAAAGACAGGACTGCAACAAGTCATGTTCCATATTTTATTGATGTCCACAAATACTATAAAAATCTCCATTGCTACATCCTCCTTAATTAGATTGAATATTGGGTTGTTAATTATTTTGAGTCACTTGCACCTCCAAATTTTTCTGATTTAAATATTCCCTAAAGGAATTCACCATCTGAAATCTAAAACCTGTCATTAGGTTTAAAAGACAAGCTATCTTTTTAAAAAAAATCAGCAAAATGACACGATTCATCGAAGTCAGAAACTGTGAAAACAAGGCGCACAGACAAATATTGAACTTTCTGTCAGTTCTTGAACTACTCATCAACACTTAACCAAAACTAGATATTAAATCAATATATTTCACCATACTTAATTTATTCTACATGTCTCATTAAAACAAATTAAAAATATACGGTTTAGACGAACCAGATTCTGTAAAAAAAACAAGATATTCTTCACAACTCAGAACAGCTGAGAAGCTTTTAATGACTGAGCAGCAGCAAAAAGTCATGTGACAAAAATTCAGAGATTTGTTTTTGGCTGAACTGCAGGTTGTGTTTACACAGAGCAGATAAGAGACAAATATGGAGACAAATTAAAAAATGGAAGTAGTAGAACATTTTCTTCCAGTATTGTTAACGCCTGTGGACACTTGGAAAAATGTTGCATATGTTGATTCCAGGTTTTTTCCAATATTTCGAAAATAAATAATAAAAGAAATTTAACTTGTGTTTTACTCTTTTTTTATGATTTATGGCAAAACTTTGTTCTACTGCACAACACATATTTTAGAGCTCTCTCTACTTCTAGGCTTGGTTGTGCTGTTTCCATAGAAGTGCAGGACGTTATGTTGTAGTGAAAAATGAGCCACAGTGAGGAAACATGTTACAGGAGCAAAAGACAGCCAGAAACCACTTTAAATCAGTCCACAGCCGAAAATAGTCCCCCAACAAATAT